TGAAAGTTGAAAAGGGACAGTGTTGACATGTCATGGGGTTGTTAACCAATGTCGTAAAACAGTAAGTTTACTGTTTAATGTGAAACTATTTGTTCTGTAAACCTTCATTTAAATTACAATAAAAAAAATTTTTTTTAAAAAGGGGGGTGTACAATCCCTTACACATAGTAATTACTCAAGAAACTTTAGTTTCTTCTCTTGACATCTTTTCCTAGCCCTCAAAAATGACTTTAAATCTTTGTTCGGGTTGTCTGTTTCTTTTATATCATATTTATATACTTGGTGTGTAGGAATCTTTGGCTAGACCATGTTTTTATGCAAATAATGTACACGTTTAACACTTTTTTGTCAGCCACGGAACCCTCTTGCACGTTATTTTCCTAGGTATGCTATGGATGTTTTGCGGGGGGGTGTTATTTACATGGGCGCATTATTTGCAAAAAATAAAGTACTATTAGAGTGAGGTGAAAATAGCACCGATAAATCTATTAGTTTGTTTTAATTTACTGCAGGATTATGGGGCATAAGCAGGATCTCTAGCAGAGTTTATTTTGAGTGCTGTTGTTAGGAATTGTCTCTAATGCTTGATTTACCCCATAAAATATATTAACAGTAATATCACAGGTAATCCTTTAGTCTTTGTTACAACTTTATCTTCAGATTGAGTTCATTTAGTTACAGGAACAGTATTTACTATTGTCTTTGGTATGTAGTGGAGCCCTGGTGGCATAGTGGTTAAAGTGCTCGCCTGCTAACTGGAAGGTTGGCAGTTCAAACCCACCAGCCACTCCATGGAAGAAAAGATGTGGCAGTCTACTTCCATAAAGATTTACAGCCTTGGAAACCCTGTGGGAAACCCTACTCTGTCCTATAGGGTCACTATGAGTTGGAATTGACTTGACGGCAAATGGGTTTTTTTTGTTTGTTTGATGGGTAACGCTTTAAACAGTTAGACCACCAGAGAGAAAGACTATCTTACCTTGCGGTTTCATTCTGCTTCTCATCATCAGAAGCTCTTTCTAGAGGGCCAAGATTCTGACATCAGCTAAGAGATACCCTCATATCGCAGGGCCTTAGCAAGTGTGCTCCTTTGGTGCTGAAGTTACCAGGGCACCATTGGTCTGGCCCCACCACTCCAACTCCCTCGTTCTTTGCTCCCTCCCTGAACTCTGGCCTAATGGTCTTCTTTCAGTTCCTTGAAATTGCAGAATTCATTTCTGCTTCAAAGCCTTTGCATATGCTTTTGCTTCTTCCCACAATTCTGTTTTCACATACTGTCTCACTCCAACTTGGCAAATGTGAGTTCCATCTGAGGCCTCTTAAAAGTTCCAGCATTTTAATAAGTATATTAATATATTAGGTATGTGAACAATATAGGTATATGAATATTTTAATATTTACTTTGTGTTTTTTTAAAATTTTTTCCCATACAAAAATTTATACATACATTGTTATGTGACTCTAATTGCTCTCCTCATACTGTGACAGCACACTCCTCCTTTCCATCCCTGATTCCCCATGTCCATTCAACCAGCTCCTAACCCTCTGCCTTCCCATCTCACCTTTGAACAGAAGCTGCCTGTTTAGTTTTCTTGTATCTACTTAAGCTAAGAGGCACACTCCTCACGAGTATCACCTTATGTCCCACACTCCAGTCCAATCCCTGTCTGAAGAGTTGGCCTCAGAAACTGTTTTAGTTCTGGGCTGATAGAGAATCCAGGGGCCATGCTTTCTGGGGTGCCTCCATTCTCAGACCATTAAGTCTGGTCTTCTTACTAGAATTTGAGTTCTGCACCCCACCTTTCTCCTGCTCCATCTGGGACTCCCTGTTGTGTTCCCTGTCAGAGAGGTCATTGGTGGTAGCCGGGCACCATCTAGTTCTTCTGGTCTCAGGCTGATGAAGTCTCTAGTTTATGTAGCCCTTTCTGTCTCTTGGGCTAATACTTCCCTTGTTGCTTTGGTGTTCTTCATTCTCCTTTTCTCCAGGTGGTTGGGACCAGTTGTTGCATCTTAGATGGCCGTTCGCAAGCTTTTAAGACCCCAGGCGTTGTTCACCAAAGTAGGAGGCAGAACATTTTCTTAATAAGCTTTGTTATGCCAGTTGACCTAGATGTCCCCTGAAAGCATGGTCCCGAGACCCCTACCCCTGCTACTCTGTTCCTCAAAGTGTTCGATTGTATTCAGGAAACTTCTTAGCTTTGGTTTAGTCCAGTTGTGCTGACTTCCCCTATAGTGTGTGCTGTCCTTCCCTTCACCGAAGATAATTCTTATCTACTATCTAGTTAGTAATAACCCTCCCCGTCCCTCCCCATCCTCGTAACCATCAAAGAGTGTTTTCTTCTGTATTTAAACCTTTTCTTGAGTTCTTATAATAGTGGTCTTATGCAATACTTGTCCTTCTGTGACTGACTAAAGTCACTCAGCATAATGCCCTCCAGATTCCTCCATGTTATGTTTCACGGCTCCATCATTGTTTTTTATCATTTCGTAGTATTCCATTGTGTGGATATACCATCATTTGTTTATCCATTCATCCCTTGATGGGCATCTAGGTTGTTTCCATCTTTTTGCTATTGTGAATAGCACTGCAGTGAACATGAGTATGCATGTATCTATTCGTGTGACGGCTCTTATTTCTCTAGGATATATTCCAAGGAATGGGATTACTGAATCGTATGGTGCTTTTATTTCTAGCTTTTTAAGGAAGCGCCAAATCAATTTCCAAAGTGGTTGTACCATTTTACATTCCCACCAACAGTGTATAAGTGTTCCAGTCTCTCCACAACCTCTCCAGCATTTATTTTG